CAAGCTGCTTTCCGGAGCAGCTGCACCATCCACATTCTCACCAGCACAGTGTCTGTGATTTTCATTATAGCCATCCTAGTGGGGGTGGAGTGGTATTGCATTGTATTTTGATGTACATTTGACTAATAGCTAATCATGTTGAGCATCTTAACATGTGCTTATTGACCATCTTCCTTGCACAAATATCTGCCTGAAACATTTCCCCTTTTCCAGCTGGCCTATTTGTTTTATAACTATAGTGTTTTTAAGTATAACTGTACTGTTTTTAACTGTAGTGTTATTCTGGATATAAGTTTCTTATCCTATATATTATTTGAAAATATTTACTCCCATTCTGTAGGCTGTCTTTGCACTTTTTAACAGTATCCTTTGATGCTCAAAAGGTTTACATTTTGACAAGTACAGCTTGTCTATTTTTTCTTTTGTCACTTGTGCTTATGTTGTTGTAGCTAAGAAGGCTTTACCACACCCAGATTAATGAAGATTTACACCCATGTTTTTGTCTAAGAGTTTTATAGTTCCAGCTTTCATATTTAGGTATTTGAAGTCCTACTCAGTCCTGCAGAATATGACGGTATTTAAAGATAAGGTCTTTAAAGATATAATTAAGTTGAATTGAGGTCATTAGGATGGGCCCTACTCCAACACAAGTGGTGTCCTTATAAGAAGACACCATAAGAAGAGGAAATTAGGACGTGGATGCTCACAGTACAAAGAGAAGACCTCGTGAAGGCCCAGGGAGAAGATGGCCATCTACAAGCCAAACAGAGAGGCCTCAGAAGAAACCAACAGTGTCAACACCTTGATCTTGTACTTCTAGCCTCCAAAATTGCAAGGAAATTAACTTCTGTTCTTTAGGCCAGTCTGTGGTACTTTGTTATGGTAGTTCTAGAAGACTAATACATAAAACCCCTTTGGTCATGACATGCTATTTTCTTAAATGACATGGGCTTTGTACTTTTCTGAGAGAAATAACTTCCTCTATTTTTTCCTCTAGTATAGGAGTGGCAAACTGCAATTCATGGGCCACCCTGAGCCTGCTGCTTATTTTGGTAAATCCAGTTATTTCAGGCATAGCCACAGCCACTTATTTGCATTTCATCTAGGCTACTTCTGTGCTACCGTGGCAGAGTTGAATAGTTAGGCCTGCAAACCAAAATATTTACTATCTAGTGCTTCAGAAAAAAAATTGCTGACCCCTGTTGTAGTACTTAGGACTGATTTATGTGCATAGTTCCTTGAATTATTGCATTTTAAAAAGTTTTTTCTATGGCTTTTGATGTTTGAAAAACAGCATGAGGGAAATAAAATCCTTAACTTGCATCTCCTTTCCTTGCATCTTTAGAACGTGCTGCATCATTATTTGCCTTGTTTGATTCTTGAGAAGTCTGATGCCAAATATTTTGATTAACAGACTCCATAGCAAACTATGTATCCTAAACAGTACTGGCTTAAAGTAAGGATTGTTTTTATTATAATTTCACAATCTTTGCAGTCAGGAATTTGGGCAGGGTTCAGCTGGATGATTTTCTGCTCCACATGGCTTCAACTGGGGCTGCTCAGTGGTATTCAGCTGATGGCTGGGCGGACATAAGGCATTCATGACGACTTCACTCACATGAGCTAGGATCAGTTAGGCCCCTCTCCTGCTCTGTGTATTCTCAGAACCTCTTCACAGAGAGTTAGAGGTTTTACATAATGGCTAGGGCTTCAAGAGCTAGTGTTCCCAAAGACCCAGATGGACTCTTCAAGACTTCTTATGACCTACACATGGAAATCCTATACATAACCACTTACATTCTATTGGTCAAGTAATTCACTCAGGCCAGCCTGGAACAACAGAAGTAATAGGGAATTTGCATCCATCTTTGATGTATTGAAGCCTAATTTTCTTACCCTTTTAAGCAATTTGAATTTTTTGTTTGCATGGAGATTTTGAAGATCATTACTACTATCTTTTGTCTAATAATTTGCAGATGCTAGCTCTCAGAATAGAGCATACTGTGGTCATTTCCTCAAGTTCATATGGGTCCTTTCATTATATAGATTTACATTTTCTTATTTCCCAAAAGTTTCTTGAATAATAGTCTCATTATATCAGGAACTTCAGCTACACATATTTTGGACATCGTTTGCTTGTGTTCAAATGGCATTCCAGAGAGAGAAAGAAGTACAAAAGTATGGAGGCAAGAAAAAGTAGAAACAATCCAGGAGTTTGGATGGGGTGTATGTTGAGAGTGACAAGATAGACAAGGGCTAGATAAATGTGGGGTCTTGCGTGTCATGCTGAGCAGTGACACCATGGACAGCATGTTTTCGCAAGCTTTTTCTGACATGCAGCATGGATATGAATGGGAAGGAACAAGACTTCAGGAGGGAGACAAGATAAAAGGCTGTTACAGTCGTCTAGGAGAGAGGGGCTAAGAGGGACAACGCTGGAGTTATTTATGGGGAAAATCAGCAGGATTGTTGAGTGTTGTGGGGAGAGGGAGGGAGGAATCATGGATGACTCCCAGGTTTCTGAATTGGGCGTCCGAGTGGATGGTAATGCCAACCAGTTTTGGCCATGCAGAGCCCGAGGCGTCTCTAGGACATTCAAGGACATAAGTCTGCCAGGCTTTTGTGTGTACAGAACTCCGGGGAGTGGTCTGAGCTAGATAACGCCTTTGGGAGTTGCTGACAGATGTGGCAGATGAAGAAGGGAGTGAATGAAATGACTCAGGGAGAACACATGGGGTGAGATGAAAGCCGAGGACAGGCTGGAGACAGGAGTGGTCAGAGGGGTTAGCAGAGGAGCCGTGTTGTGAAGGCAAAAGGGTGTTTCAAAAAGAGTGGAGTGCTCTCCAAATGGCCTGTGGCATTTAGGATTAAACCACCATAATGACTGAGAGAAGTGCTGGGACGTGATGGGGACAGAAGCTACATAGTCATGAGGTGAGGACTGAGAAGCTGCTCGGTTGGCTGAGAGAAACTACTTTCAAGGAGTTTTGAGAGAATTTATAGAGAGGGAGCAATAACTACAGCACAATCTGGAATGACAGAGGGATTTCTTCCTTTTTCTTTTTCTTCTTTAAAAAAATCCTCACCCAAGGACATGCTTATTGATTTTAGAGAGAGGGGTGGGGAGGGAGAGAAAGAAGGAGAGAGACATTGATGTGAGAGAGAAACATGGATAGACTGTCTGTCACTGGCGCCCCAACTGGGGATGGGACCTGTAACCTCGGTATATGCCCTGACCGGGAATTGAACTCACAACCTTTCAGTATATGAGACATTGCTCCAATCAACTGTGCCACATTGGCCAGGAAAAGCCTGGCCAGGAAAGCACTCTTTCAGGTTTTCCTTTTTCTTTAGGATAGGAAAAGCCTGAACATGAATAGATGGTGAAGGAATAGAATAAGGTAAAAGGAACTGATTTTGGGAATTAGGGGGGCAGAATGATTGAAACATGTTTGAAAGATGTTTTCTGAGGAGGTGGGAGGTGATGAAATACAGAACCAAGATGGGGAAATGCTAATATGAGTGTACTTCAGGTAGTCAGTTCCCAGAATGGTTTATAACAGTCTGGCCCACGTATTGAAATTACTTTGGTTTCAATCAGTAGGGCAAATATGTAAATATTTAAAGCAATATTTACATATTTATCTTACATCACCTACACATCTTTTCTTCACAGAATAGGATCAATATTTTACCCTTTCAGTGCCTCCTCTGCAGTTGGTGCTCAAAAGCAGTAAATGCATAAACAAGACGTCTCTGACCTGTATTCTTAGTATCTTAACATATGAGAAGACAGTCAAGGCCCTGCATACAAGTGAGAACGTCTTCTAAACCTGCAAAATTGCCATGAAGTTCCTATGCGAAAGGTGATGCCTTTTTTTTGAGGATCTTGTTTACTTCCACTTAGCAAAGTTGTTTACCAGCATTTTTCCTTCACCAAAGGAGTTTAAAAATAGGGAGATGAGAGGAGGAGGAAGAGTTCGTTCTGGAGGCAGGCAGGCGGGCAGCAGCAGGAGGTGGCTCGGTCTGCCTCACCATAAAGTGCCAAGAAGCAGTGAATAACTAGACTCGAAGCATGCTGGCTTTGGGTCTCCTCACTTAGCGATTTAACACACTTCACTCACATACAGTAGTCGTCAAAGGACACTGCTGTTTTCAGCTTTAACTAGCGTTGAGGAAAACGATTCTTTGAGTCATTAAAAAAGCTTAGCTGTTCCTAATTTGGAATTCATCCTGTTTTACATGGTTTGGAAAGGGTTCTATCAAAAATTTATATTAAAACAAAAACGCTGCTGCTGAGAGGGGAAGCCTTGGCACCCCTCTGTTCATTGGCCCAAGCTGCTTTCCTAGCCTTTGATGCCCCCCCGCCCCCGCTTTTGCTACTAAGCCTCTTTTTCTTCCTTCAAGGCTGACCACAAATGCCACCTCTTCTAGGAACCTGTCTCCACGGTCCAAGAGGAAGTAATCTCGTCCTCCGAAGCCCTCCACAGCATCTCACCATGGCTGGCTTTGCACGGGTCACCAGTCCGGGTTGTTTATACGGCTGCTTTTCCACTAAGTTATGCGCTCCTCGAGACCAAGGACCGTGACCGTGTACCCACAGAGCACCTGGTATAGCGCTAGAGACCGAGTCAGTGCTCAGTAAACGCTGGCTGAGTTGAGTTAATTTGGAAAAATCATTCAGGGAGGATCTCGCGCTTGAGGAGTGGATGAATGATTCATGGGGTGGTTCTTTGCATTCTTTACCTTGTAGTCACGTCGGGCGGAGTATCCAGCTAGCCTGGCAAATACCTGCAGAGTTGAAACGCACCTCAGCCGCCCGCCGTTGGCGTGCGGGAGACGTCCCCGGGGCACAAGTTTCGCCTGCCCTCCGCGAACCCCGAGCAGAGCTGGGGGGCGGGGCCCGCCGGGCCGCGGGGGGCGGGGCTCGACGGGAACCCGGCCGCTTGCCCGCCCCCTCCCCGGCGCGGCGGAAGCCCCGCCCCCAAGCGCGCGCTCGCGCCGGTGGCGCGTGCCCGCCTCCAGCCCGGAGTCCTCGCGCCCTCGCGCCCTCGCGCTGGGGGCGGGCTCGCTGCGCGTGCCGGGCGGGGAAGCGGCGCGAGCCGGGCGCTGAGAACGTTCGCTGCGGGGGCGGCTCCAGGGCCTGAGAGAGCGCAGCTGCTGTCTTTGCAGCGAGCGCCGGGCCGGAGGCGGCGGAGGAGGCTGCGGCCGCGGGAGACCGTCTCGACGCCCCCTGCTCCGGCCGGGAAGTGAGTAAGGTAGGGGTCCACGGCGGCAGCCGCCGGCTGCGTTAGAGGAGCACGGTGCTGGAGCCTCGCGCCCACGGGGAACGGGAAGGCGCCCGCGCAGCCACCGGACCTCGGGAGCCTGCGGGGGTGCAGGGCCACGAGCGGCGGAGACGGCGCGCGGGGAGTCGGGGCCGCTGCACCGCGCGCTCTGGGAGCAGAGACGGCGCCGCGCTCACGGCCCTGGAGGGGCGAGCCGAGGGGATGGAGCGGAGCCCCGGGCCGGCGCCGCCGGGCTCTGAACCCCGGGCCGGGGAGGGGTCTCCGGGTTGCCGAGCGCGCTGTGGCCGTCGGGCGGAGAGCCGGGGTGCGGGCGCTGGGCTGATGCTGCTGAAGCCCTGTTTGCTGGGAGGAGGCTCTGCTTTAGGTGCTGAAAGGGGGCAAAGGAGGCAGGTCCTGGCAGAGGGCAGGTGAGGCAGGCAGGCCCTGGCAGAGGGAAGGGAATTTACTTCAAATCACCCCAAAACACTATTTCTCGAGGCGCCTAACAGTGAACCTGTACACCCAGTCACCCTTGGAAGGAAAGTGTGCTGGGAGGAAAGAGGATGCAGCTAACGAATGCTTGCCATTCAGTTCCTGTGCCAGGCCTTAGGATTATGAAGACCTTCCAGCATTCTTAGCAAGCGTTTATTGATTAGAGCTAGCTACCGTGGGTGGAGAACCATAGTCACCACTAGGACTACAAAATAGTGTCAAACACAACCGTGATTTGCCATTTAGGTGCTAACAATTCGTTTGTGCAGGTATGCATATAAAATATAAAGCAGCATTGAATTTTGTCCCACATCTTGTTCACTTCAGCTCTTTTTCCTTTCCCCCCCAGTACTGGAACATTGGAGCCATATATATTCCTTGGTTTGGAGACAAAGCAGGAGGGTCAAGGAAACTTGTGGGAGAAACTTAGGATATTTTTGAAGGCTCTACTGTGTAACATTTGAAGGGAGAAAAGAAGAAAAAATTTGAGAAGAGAAAAGGAGTTCCCTTCCTTCCCAACTGTTATTAAACTCCATGACTATTCACTGCTAAGTTCTCAGTGACAAGAACACTACCTGACCCAACAGCAGTTGTGTAAGAAATGTTGATTGCCTGGATAAATGAACCAAGGAAGGTTTTGCTGTGTATTGCACAGAGCAGTATTAATCTCTCTGGTGTTAGGGATGGCTGATGGACTTCCCCTGCTCCTAAAGTGCACCCCTCCCCTGTTTTTTGCCACGTAAGGTAACCCAGGTTCATAGGTCTGGGCATTTAAAACAATGGCTAAGGTGATGGAGCTGCGGTTCCTTGTGGCCAGGCTGCCACGTTCACATCTTTATTGCAGGTTGGCCGACAGGAACTTACTCCTTGGACCATTGTTGCTTCAGATCATCCCTTTCTGGCTCTTCTTTTTTCCATCACTTGAAGAAGAGTACTTTTGTCTAGGAAATCCTTTTTTACTTCTATCCTGGTTCTTGGATTGTAGGTCTGTAGTAAGAGAATAGATGCACCTCTTGCTCCTCTGTATGGGCTGGAATTCTGCCTGTTCTCTGCCTTGGTTGGATTTCTGGACTCTCCAACTCCAGTTTGCTGTTTCAGTTCCCTGGGCTGCAGTGCCTGTTAGGTTACTTTGTCTGCCAAATTAAAACTTGACCTTTTATGAGTTCTATGAGGATTTTTATCATACATAAGTGGAGTTACCTTGGAAGGTAAAAAAGCAGCACTGACAAGGTTTTTGAGTGTCCATTCCATGTGAGAGACAAAACTTCTACTTAGAAAATTAGACTTAAACCAGTAGAATGCTGTTACCCCTTATTTTAAATCCTTACTAGACATCTCTAAGGACCTTTGTTTCCTCATATAAAAAATAAGGTCACATTAACCCAAATTTGGCATTGTGTGGTCAGTCTTGTAGAATGAAATTCATTTCTTTTTAGTTTTACTACTGTGTATTTCTGAGTGCATCTAGCAAGTGTCTGCCAGTTCTTGTTTGGGTCTTGTAATATGGGTAACTTGTTCCAGGCTCTCCCAACGATATTGTATTTTATCTGTGTATTTATATTTATGTTAAAATCAACATTCATTGATGTATAGTTTACATATAAAATGCATAGATGTCCCTGTACAGTAGGATGAGTTTTGATAACGTGTATACTTTGTAACCACTATCCCGATCAGGATATAGAAACTTACATTGCCCCAGCAAATTCCCTCATACTGGTTTGCAGACCCCCTCCCCCTTATTTAATTCATTTTTAATTTCACAAGCATCAGGGATGTGGCATCTAGCTGTGCAGGACGTATACTGCCCAGCTTTAGGGGGCGCCATTCACAGCAGGGTCCCTGTGCCTGGCAGCTCCTGGGGTTGTGCGGTGCACGGCCAGTGTGGCTGGGTACCGCAGTCTGCAGATGGCTCATGAATGCATGCTCTTGTAAAACACTCAGACAGTGCAGACAGAAAAAAATCCTCTTTGGTCCACTCCCTTCTCCACTGAAACTGTAGTCAGCAGCTTGTTGACGATCCTTCCCGACCTTTCTCAATGCATTTTCATCTATATATAGGTAATATAGAAAAAGCAGGCTTTCTCCACATTCACGACCTGATAGTATACACATTGTTCTGCAGTTTGTTTTCTGACAGGATATCTAAGATCTTTTCATGCTGAAACAGAGAGAGCTCCCTGATCCTCCTTGACTACTACACGTTCTCTTATGAAGTGTATATTGTGCTGTAGTTTCAGACACTGCTGCAGTGAATGAAAAGCAGACTTGCCGGGTCAAAGGGGTGCCCATTTAAAATTTTAATTGCTGGAGATTTAACCATGTTGCTACTTGTGGATCTGGTTCATTTCTTTGGAATTGCTGAGTAGTGTTCAGTTGTAGACTGAAATGACCATTTACGTATCCTTCGCCCAGTGAGGGACAGTTAGATTTTTTTGGATACTAATTTTTTTGATGGGTGTATGAGCTGTGAAGACGCCCTGCCAATCTGAGGCTTGCCTTTTCCCTTCGTTCACAGAGTCTTTGCTCGTATACAAGTTTTAAATTTTCATGTTGTGTTTATGAAAAAATTTCCTTAAATTAAAAAAAAACATTTTGTGTGTCTAGTTAAGTAAATTTTCTTTACCTCAGAGTATGAATTATATATTTCTGTTTTTCTTTCTAAAATTAAAAAAAAATTTGCTTTCAGTGTGAAATTTCTATATGGTATAATGAGAGATAATTTGTTTTTCAATTGGGATAACCCATTTTTTAGCACTTTTTCTCATAATGTTAAAGATTTTATTTATTTATTTTTAGAGAGCGGGAAAGGGAGGGAGAAAGGGAGGGAGAGAAACATCAATTAGTTGCCTCTGTTACACACTCCAACTGGGGGCCAAACCTGCAATCCAGCCATGTGTCCTGACCCAGGAATCAGACCGGCAACCTTTTGCTTTGCTGGATGACACCACTGTTCAGGGCTCTCATAAACTTTTTACTGTGGTAAAATATATATAACATAAAAAATGCACCATTTTAACCATTTTTAAGTGTACGGTTCTGTGGCATTAAATATATTCACAATGTTGTGTGACCATCCCTGCTGTCCACATCCAGAACTTTTTTTCCTTCCATGTCTCACCCAAGGACATATTTATTGATTTCAGAGAGAGAGAGAGAGAGGAAAGAGAAAAAGCCATCGATGTGAGAGCGAAACATCGATGTGAGAGAGAAACATTGATCTGTTGCCTCCTGCATGCTCCCCGACCGGGGATTGAACCGGCAACCCAGGTATGTGCCCTGACCGGAGATAAAACCCACAGCCTTTGGTGTATGGGATGACACTCCATCCCGCTGAGCCTCCAGGCCAGGGCAAGAACTTTTTCATCTTTTGCATCTGAAACTCTGTACCCATTAAACACTAACTCCCAGTCTCTCCTCTCTTCAGTGCTGGCGGCCACCATTCTACTTTCTGTCTCTATGAATTTACTGACTCTGGTACGTCATATAAGTGGAATTATGCAATATTTGTCTTTTTGTGTTTGGCTTGTTTAACTTAGCATAATGTCTTCAGCATTTATATTGTTGCATGTGTCAGGATTTGTTTCCTTTTTTAAGGCTGAATACTGTTTCATTGTGTGTATATATCACATTTGCTTATTTATTCATCCATGAGTGGACGTTTTAGTTGTTTCCAGCTTTTGGCAGTTTTGAATAATGGTGTGAACGTGGGTGTGCAAATACATTTTCAAGTCCCTGCTTTCAGTTCTCTTGTGCATATACCCAGAAGTGGAACTGCCCATGATAATTGAAAAAATTATATGCATAACTGAATATGACCAAAATGGGTGTATAGTACAGAATTTCTATATACCGTTCTTCCCCCTGTACAATTTCCTCTGTTACTAATATCTTGCATTAGTGTGGTACTTTTATTACAAGTGATGATAAATTATTTTTAAAGTATATTTTATTGATTATGCTGTTATAGTTGTCCCAGTTTTTCCTCCCTCTGCCCCCCACCGCCCAGTACGCCCCTTCCTTCCAGCAGTCCTACGCGCCTAGTTCATGTCCTTGGGTCATGGCTGTAAGCTGTTTGGCTTCTCCATTTCCTATGCCGTTCTTAACTTCCCCTTGTCAATTTTGTTCCTACCAATTATGCTTCTTAGTCCCCGCATCATTTCTCCGTTCACCCCCTTCCCCCTCCCAGCTGATAACTCTCCAAATTATCTCCATATCTATGACTCTGTTCCTCTTCTGGTGGTTTGCTTAATTTTTTTTAGATTCAGTTTTTGATAGTTGTGAATTTGTTGCCTTTTTAATGTTCATCGTTTTAATCTTCTTTTTCTTAAATAAGTCCCTTTAACATTTCCTTTAAAAATGGCTTGGTAATGATGAACTCTTTTAGCTTTCCTTGTCTGGGAAGCACTTTATCTGCCCTTCTATTCTAAATGATAGCTTTGCTGGATAGAGTAATCTAGGTTGTAGGTCCTTGCTTTTCATCTCTTTGACTACTTCTTGCCAGTCTCTTCTAGCCTGCAGAGTTTCTTTTGAGAAATCAGCTGACAGTCTTATGGGAAAACCTTTCCCATAACTCTCTGCTTTCATCTTGCTGCTTTCAATATTCTCTTTATCTTTGACCTTTCGCATTTTAATTATGATGTGCCTTGGTGTTGTCCTCTTTGGGTCTCTCTTGTTTGGGACTCTCTGAGTTTCCTGGACTTGTATGTCTGATTCCTTTGCCAAATTAGGGAAGTTCTGTTTTCAATTTCTTGCTCTTCCTCTCCTGCTTTGGCCTCTCCATGGTGTGGATGGTGGCTCATTCGGAGATGCCCCAGAGGTTCTTCTTGTTCTGGTTTAATGCTTATCTCTCCCTTATGTTCCAAATTGTTGGTTTGAATCCCAGCTTCCTTCCCTTCTCTGTTGGTTTCCTGTGGATTATTCTTTATTTCACTGAGTGTGACCTTCGTTTCTTCTTTTCTTGTTTTGCCATACACAAGGAGTTCTCTGAGCATCCTGATAACCAGTGTTTTGAACTCTGCATCTGATAGGCTGGCTATCTCCGTTTCACTAAGTTCTTTTTTGGGGGGTTTGGTTCTGTTCTTTGTCTCTTCAATTTAGTAGCCTCCTTGTGTGTGTTTTTGTGTATTAGGTAGAGCTACTTTTACTTCCTGTCTTAGTAGCTTGGCTTATGTAGAAAAGGGACCTGTAAATTGTATGGAGTGGAGCCTTAGGTAACCGCCAGGGTGTGGCAACCCTCTTCACTACCTTGTGGCTCAGTGTGATGGAAGGGCTCCGAGAATGAACACTGCCGCTGTCTGGCTTCTGGCAGTTCACCCGGTGCTTGCCAGTTTCCAGTCACTTCACCCCCTTCCTGTCTGCGACTGGTGCCCTTACAGGTGCTGCCTGGAATGGGTGGGTTTGTGTACCTTCAAAGACTGTGCCGGCCCTTTAAGTGGCAAAAATCTGGTGGTTTCTTCCCCCATCCCAACCCTGGCTGATAATGGGGATCTGTCTTCCTGGTGCTGGAACCCTGGGCTGTGCAACCCTGGGCTCCGTGGTCTGGCCTGGGATCACCTGCTTCCAAGGTAGCCCTCTAGTCGTTTCCACCACCAATGCCTTTCCCTGTTGCACTTCCGCGCCTCCCCCACCCACCCGCCCTGCCCCCGTCTCCATGACTCCACCCCTCCTACTTGTCTAGATAAATGTGTCTTTAAATCCTTGGTTGTTGGACTTCCCTACAGCTCAGTTCTCTGATGGTTCTGGGTGTTGTTAGTTTTGAAATCTGGTTGTAATTCTTTCTATGGCCACTGGAGGTGGCACTACCTGTCTGCCTATGCTTCCCTCTTGACCGGAAGTTTGATGATACATTATTATTAACAAGTTCATGGTTTATATTAGGCTTCACTCTTTGTGTTACATCGTCTTTGGGGTTTCACAAATATATGTCAGGCAACATGACATTTCATGTAATGTCATTGCAGAGTTATACAGAATAATTTCATTGCCCTAAAAATCCTCTGTGCTCTACCTATTCGGTTTTTCCCTCCCTCCTCCTGAGCTCCTGGTAACCACTGATCATTATACTGTTACAGCTTTGCCTTACCTAGAACTTCATAGATTTGGGATCATACAGAATTGTAACCTCTCAGTCTGGTTCCTTTTACTTACTAGCATTATGTATTTAAGGTTCCTCAATGTGTTTTCCTGGCTTTGTAGCTCATTTGTTTTTATTCCCAATAATATTCCATTATATGAAAGTACCATAGTTTGTTTATCCATATCCCTATTGTAGGACGTTTTGGTTATTTCCAGTTTTTGGTAATTCTGAATAAAGATTCTATTAATATTCATGTGCAGGTTTTTGCGTGGACATAAGTTTTCAGCTCTTTTGAATAAATACCTAGGAGCATGATTGCTGGATGGTATGGTTAGAGTAAGTTTAGCTTTGCAAGAAACTGCCTGTCTTCCAAAGTGCCTGTACAAGTTTGCATTTCTAATAATTTAAAAAGTTTATTTTCTAACACCCTAAATATACTTAAAAATAAGTACTTGTCAAACTGTATTGTAAAAGTAAACTTCATCTGGAATTCATATTCCAGTTGCTGCTTTTGTTGGCTATCTTTCTTAGCATTATATTTCTTATTTCTTTGTGTGTTTTGAAGTGTTGCTTCGCAGACCTGAGTGTTAGTGCTTTTGATTTTGTTTTTCTTATCTCTGTGCTCGCCCTTCTCAGTGCAGTACTTTCATTGACTGAGTGAAAAATCAGATATGGTCATGCTGGGTCAGGGGTCCTGCTCTTTGAGGTAATTGGGGCTGTTTTACATCCGCTCACAGAGATGAGGGTGTCCAGGTTCAGTTCCTGATCGCGACTGGGTTTTTATTGTCCCACTTTTTAAGCTCAGGGCATTGCGTAAACTAGTTCTAGACTGAGACTGGCAGCGGTAATTTTTAGCTTCCTTTTAACTCGAGCTTCATCGCTGGCTTTAAGCTGTGAGCCTGGCTCAGATGTCTCCTGTGTGTCCAGGTCCTTTGCTTTGTGTGTCACTGTCACCCTGCAGAAAGTATACACCTGCTTCTGGACTCGGCGGCCGGCAAACCTGTAGCTTCAGTCCTGCTCGCAATTTTGTGCATCTGTTCTCTTTCTGATCCAAATGGAGGTTTTTCTTATTGAACCTTTCTAAGTCATTTAGAATATATTCTAAAAATATTTTATTTATTACTGAGTATTTGAAGCAGAGTGGATGCATCCAAGTGTCTACTTACTGAACTTTGACTAGAAGGCTTACCTGGCCAGGCTTCTTTCTAAACTTGACATCGCTTCTTTTGTTTTCTGTGTTACTGCAGTGCCTAGCCCCTCCGGTGCACGAGCTGAGTGGCAGTGATGATAATGGGCACTTTTATCTTCTCCCTGAATGGGAATGCTTCCAGTGTTTTCCTGTTAGATACCGTACTTACTGAAGGTTTCTGGTAGATGTCTTTGTCAACTTAAGGAAGTTTTCTTCTGTTCTTGGTTTGTATTTCTGTTGGGTGTTGAATTTTATCAAGGGCCTTTGGGGCACATTTGTTGAAATTATCATTGTTTTCTCTTCAATATGTTAAGAGTAGGAGAGACCTTTCTTGTTATAGTTAATCAAGAGAAACATATATTTATATGATTTACTTGGTAATGCATTTTTACCAAAAAAATGAACCTTTAAAGAAAACACACTTTATTTTGAATTTTTGTATATTAACAACATTATATATAAGCTAAAGCAGGACTGAAATGCGGAAATAGTCATGTCTGGGCTATTCTTAGAACTAAGCCTCACTGTAATGAAATAGTACCCATTAAAAGTATATATATTTTTTAATTTGGTAACTTCTGGGGCTCCATAAGACTTTTTCAACCCCTAACCATTTTAACTTTTTCCCTGGCTTCTTTTTCTAGACTCTTGACTTTCCTCTTTTAACTTCGGTCTTTCCCTGCTCTGCCTTCTCTTGCCAGAGAGAGACTTTCTTCTGTAGATGATAATAAGTGTTACCTATCATGAGGCTACTGTGTGTCAAGGAATTTTCATGGATCATGGCTACTCTTTAATCTTTGTCTTTGGCGACTAGATATGGTATCTCCAGTGTATGGGTGAGGACATTGAGCTCAGAGAAGTTAGAACTTGTTTGGGGCCACACAGCTAATCAGTGACAGGGGTAACATTGGAACCCGGCCTGGACTTCAGAGCCCCTGTTCTTTCTGCATGCTGTCTCTCACCAGGCTGTTTCATAGTCCAGATTCAACTTCCGCTCTGTGT